ATGACTTTATGTGTACTTATTGCGTTGCCATTTTTATGATTTCCATTTTAACTGACTTATGGCATCAGATAAGATTTAGGACTTAGAATAGTTACATTTTCTTAATTGCTTATTTAAGAATTCCTCAATGTATAAATAACAATGTAAGTATGATATCATTTTGTTTTAGTTGTTTATTCGGTAATTCATGCTCCATATCAGTGATTATATTCGACATAAAACATGAACACTTCAAACTTATAAAAAGAATACAAATAATTGATAATAGCTGATTAGTAAGTAGAGGGATGGGTCATATTTCACAGTTCTTTCAACCTGCATTAGTAGATCTAGATCGGGCTTGCTGGCTTCTGCTGCCAGAATGTGTCCCTACCACTCCAATGCTCACTCCAGCAAACATACAATGATTGTAATCCCAAGAGAACACTAAACTGTCTCATATCCTCTGCTGCATCTTACAAATTAAAGTTAGAAAAGCAAATGTTAAGGAAACAAACCATGATTCCATAATATTTCAGAAATTTCTAAAGCGGTGACTTTCTCCTTACAAACTGCCACCTTACTCTGCTCTCTACACAATAACTTCATTCATACTTTGGGGTAAAGAACTGTGGAAGGAGGAACAGCAAAGGAAACTTCCTATGATCAAAGAGAGCTCACATAACTGCTCAACAGGCATATCATACAAATCTAATCGATGTAAAATTAATACGTTAATAGTGAGTTGTGCAGCTGTAATTCAACCACTGCGTTTAAATAATAAAATTAATTTTACATAATTATTAAATTGTCTCTTGTGCTGTAGTGCTCTTTTACCTGCTGGTAATCCTGCCGACTGGGCCAATTGTCAGGCTAGGGCTGGCTCTGGAGGTCACAGACCCCTCAAGCCCATTTTCCAGACTGGGTCACAAACCCTTCACATGCCAGGCTGGGTCACCAGACCCCCCACACGCCAGGTTGGGTCACCAGATCCCTCACACGCAGGTCTATGAGCTATGTAACCAGCCAAAAGGGTCCTTGGAGCCATAGGTTCAAGAGCATGGCCATGTGCGGCAGATGCCCAAGGGACTCAACACCAGCCAAGTGGTGGCACTGCCCATGTGCACTAACTCCACCCACACACAACTTACTTACAAAGAATGCACCACACCACCTCCAACTGGACATAAGGCGAGGGGGTCTGATTAAATTATTCTATTTTCCCAACATGTGCTATTTGCTATCATCAGTTAGGAGTTCTAAATTACTTTCACTGAATCTGTAGATGTTAGAAAGTGATATTGAATATGACGCTTCTACAGAAATCAATAAAGGGCACTATTTAAGTGAAGTTTTTTTGTTGCTGAAAATTAGATGAAAACAGTTCTTTCACAAAATTCTTGTTAAGCTAGTTTTAAGATTAGTAAAAACAAGATTAGTTATGTCAGAGTGGTTAAGAACATGGGCTTTGATCCAGCTGGGCCACAATGCCTGACACTGCTGACCGTCTTGCTCTACTTCTCCCTCTCACCTGGCCTCTTCCTTCTTGGCCTCTGTATGCATTCTTTCCTTCTCATGGCTCATTCCTGCATCCTACACTATCCTCCTCAATGTATGGACTTTTACCATCAACACTGGAGTTACCTATGATATCCCACAGGGTCCCACTACTAGTATCTGGACACCAGCCAGGATGGGTGGCATAGCTGGCCCATTGCTCACCAGTGGCCCCCGGGTCCTTCAACCATAGATGCTGCCTTCTCCTGGGATGATAAACTCTATCTGGTCCTGGGCACCCAGGTACATGTCTTCCTGAAAAGGAGAGCTATGCCCTAGTAAGTGGTTATCCAAAGTGGCTGGAGAAGGAACTTGGGAGCTCTCCTGGGATCAGCCTTGAGACAGTGGATGCAGCTTTTACCTGTCCTGGGTCTTAGTACTACATCATGGCAGGTGAGGGGCTTCTGGGTACTAAGGGGTAGCTTGTTCTGCTACCTCTGCATGGCGTAGATTCCCACCAGGGCACCAGAAGAAGTAGGTCAGGATCCCCATGAAATGGAAGTCATGTTATCATTGGTGCCTTCTCCTCAGGACAGTGGCTGTAGTGGCTGGACTTGAAGTCAGGAGCTCAAGCCATGTGGACAGAGCTTCCATGGCTTCATGAGAAGCGTGACAAGGCCCTGTGTGTGGAAAAGTCCCTCGGCCCCCACTCGTGTTCCACCAGTAGTCCCAGATCATACCTCATCCATGGCCCCAATGTGTACTGCTACAGTGATGTGGAAAAACTGAGTGCTGCCAAGACACTCTGCCAGCCTCAGACAGTGGCCAGTCTTCTGGGCTGCAGCCACTGAGGGGTCTTCTGACATGAGGCTGCCCCCAGATCCTCCAGTTTCCTCACACTAAAGCCAGATTGCTTCTTAACTTGACAAAATAAATGGGCTTTGTAATCTGACATCCTAAATTTGAATCCTAGATCTGCCCTCAATGCCGGGCATATGTTTAATCCTAAACATTAATTGTTTTTAATATCATTAAGAACATGCTATGTGAAAAAGAAATTTTGTGGAAAAAGAATAATCAAAAATCTCTTCTCAAAGAGAGGAAGTATAATATAGGAAGACCCCCATAATAGACAGGAATAAATTCACATTTCCAGTCCTTACCCCCAAACTCCATTTCACAAAATAAACTCACAATTGTAAGAGAAACCAATTCAAAGAGAAGCAAATAGCAAAGAGAGTAGCATCCACTAAAACTACCCATTTAGATAAAGGGGGTAGGGTAGTTGTTTAGTTAATGTGGACAATAGTTTCTTATTAGCCTTCCTACCTGAAAGCAGAAATGCTGCTATGTTTTATATCTGTTTATTGGCTTTTCACCTAGAAACTAGAATTCTATGTACAGTAACTTTTGTTGGAGCAAAGCTCAGCTAGAAAGTGTAGAGAACAATAGTTGCCAGAAAAGAAAAAATATCACAGAGGAATCTAAAAGGAGTTTTCTCACCCTTCTCCCCCCTAGCTATAAGTCATGGAGAGAAGACTATATGGCTTATTTCTGACAAGGTATCTGAGAACTTGTTTAGACACAGTAATTAGGGTATTTAGAGACGAATTACAGAAAGTTAATTGCTCTTGTTTTTAAATATAGATCTTTATGTTTAAAGTCATCTGCTGTAAGTAATACTTATGAACCTGAGATCTCTTTGAAACTGGATATGTAAGTTTCATAGTTTTGTTGAAGTAAAAGAATTTATTTTCTTACAAAGCATAAGTGTCATTCTCCCCTTCCACTACACTGTAAGTTGCTTGTGGGGAGGAGTAATGTTTTAACCACTGATGACTCTTCAACACTCAGCACAGAACCAAGCACATATTTTATATTTAATTATGAAGGAATAAATTGGTTAATGAAATAAAGGGAAGAAAAAGCAGGTCCAAGATAGTAAGAGGTACAAGCTTGCCATCTAGTGGTAACTTGGTAAAAATGTACATTCTGTAGGAAATTCTCAGAAAAGATAAAAAAGTTGACAGAAAACATGACTTCTAAGAACAGATGTCTTGGCCAATCTTGCCACTAAAAGCTTCATTTATCCATGATGTACACACTGTTTTAATGACGCCAAATAAAGTAGCATATATGCGCACATCCTTAATGTGAAGACTTTCCGGGTATAAGAAATCATATAGTAAGAAAAAGTCATTAAGATTTAGACATATATAGTGACTGACAGTATGACGCTAGGCAGTGACAAGACTTGTTATTCTCCTATATAATTTATTAAAGCTATACTTGAAATATTTAAATATATTGTGGTGTACTGGCCAAAGGTTTTAAGATTCTGCCTGAGAAAACAAGCAGTGCTATTCTCTCCCATCTAAATTCAGTCTGTCTTGCAGTTCATTAATAAATCATACTCTACTCTATTTAAAACTGCACATTAAACCAACTGTATTCCATCTACTTCAATGTATGTCAACAGGAACTTACTGTCAGCCCAAAGAACAAAATTCCTTGCTTTTTCCTCATGTCTATCAAAAGAACCAAGTGTTCCTAAACTTTATATGCATCATTCCCAGCTTGCAGCATTTATTAGAACCTCACTCAGAATTCTTGGTTTGTTGATTCATGGTCTTATTGTCTCTGTAGAATATCTAACGTTTTCCTGTTCTACTTTTCTAGTTAACAAAGACAAAGGGTTGTTGTTCTTAGAATCCATGCTTCAGGTTAAAAGTTAATAAACAAATTAATGCAAATATAACAGTATTTCCACTTTCAGCCAGGAGCCTTGTCCCAGGAGGCCTCCTCTCAGCTTTGCTCCAACAGAATGGCACAAGAGCATTAGGACTCTTTATTATCATGTTCTTTACTCATCTGGAGTTTCTCTGGCAAACACCAATGATAATCGCTGTTCTCTGCTAAAGTAGCAGCAGTCATATTCAAAACAGTGAAAATTAAAAATTGTAAATATATACTTTTTCATGATACAGGCAAAATTTACCAATTAAGTACATGCGATTCTCTTTTTGAATAAAAAATAAAAATCAGAAAGAAGCAGCAAAATAAGGGTGAACTGTTCTTACTGGGAGTACATTTGACCTAGTTGTGAGCACAGTGTCAGAAGAATCAGGGTCTTTCTAGAGGCTGGCCTGACCTCCCGGCTAAGATAAGTTTTCTGTGAAGTGTGATACAGCTTTACCGGCAGTAGGTGTCACACAGAACTAAAGGAAAAGGGCAGAGGAGCCAGAAAAAAAAAAAAAAAAAAAAAAAAAAAAAGCTAATCATAGAGAAAGGAACTAAATATTATAAAACTATATTCACACATTTTATATGGATTTATATTGAGTAAAAGGAGCTAAAACCGCTGTATCAGTTGTGAAAACACATTTACATCTGCATATTTCACGCATGTTCTATTCACCAAAAGGAGTTCAAAACTAAGAGCTCCAAACACTTTGTGAGTGAAAAAGTACGTGGCTGGAAAGCCTAGACAACAGGGCAGAAGTTGATGAGTCGCTTGTACTCACGGTGGTGGTGGTGGTGACCTCCTCAGTCACAACCTTCAGGGTGTCGACCACGGAGATGTAGCCCAGACGCTTAGCAATCGCCAAGGCAGTGTTGCCATTCTGAAGAGAGAGTGAAAGGGAGAAAGAGTGAGAAATGAGAGGGAGGACTGTGAAGTGAGCCAATGAGATCACCCGCTGCTCTGCATGAGCCAGCACTTCCTTCCAAAACAAGGCACAGCTTAGGAAAATCACTAGTTTTTACCATTACATCTAAATCTGTCTTTGTAACTTCTTTAGACTATAGCCCAGGTCACCATGGTAACACAACAAGCTTGCATCTGCCTGCTCTTTTTAATAAGAAGCACTTGACGCTTTAACCCTAAGGTAATCACACATCTTGTACAAATACTGTATTGTGCTCAGAAAAGCACCTTCTGAATTGAGGATGATACCTCCAAAAACTGTTAGCGAGACCGGATACACTTATTCCTCATCAGAAGCCAGGCCATCTGTTGCAGGTAAGATGTTACCATAGAGAACACAGTAACATATTTAGCTACAGCTGTGCAGAAGCTCCCTATGCAGCAAAATAACACAAGCAGGCAATTTGGGCTGCTCCAGCCCAGGACACTAGGGATCCCAGTTTGTTTAATTGCACCGCTTAGTTTACATTTCAATGGCTCCATGTCCCAGTGAGCTTTGTCTAAGCCAGAAGCTCGGAAACTGTGCCCCCTTAAGAAGGCGGGGGGGGGGGGGGGGGGGGGGGGGGGGGCTTGGGCTGTGCTCACATCTGAGAGCCAGCTGTAAGCAGAGCACGTTCCAGCAGCCCAAGTGGAGGGAGGGCCCCACTCTCCAGAGACAGCCAACTGAGTCAAGCCGACTGCTTTCCCTCCCAGGGCACTCCCAGGAAGTCACACTGACTTCTGGAAAGGCTTTCCAAAAATCTGGGGCTTTCCAGGCCCTGGGGGCTTGTTTAAGGAGGATGTATGGGAACTCAGCTCAGACAAGAAGCCACCAGGGCAAGAGAGGAGGAAGAAGAAGGCATGGAGACGGGCAGCTGTGTCTGCCTTACCGCAGTGGTGGCGTTGGGCTTGGCCCCGTGCTGGAGCAGGACGTTGATGATGTGCGTGTGGCCCTGCTGGGCGGCCTGGTGCAAAGGTGTGTAGCCGTTCTGTGGACAATGGTGGCAGTGAGCCGAGCATCCATTCGCAGAGGGAGAGGAAAGTTATGTTAGCCTTCATTTTGAATTTTTTAGTCTTATTTACAACTAAACTATCAAGGATGCTTTGTTTATTTGGAGCCCAATATTACCAGCAACCCATTTCTCAGCAGCAAACACTCCCTCACACCTTATGGTCTGCTAAACAAAGAGAAAAGACTAGCTTATGAAACACCAAGATTAACAGACTCCAAATTATAACTATTATTATATTTTAACCCATGAGCATTAAAAATGGGTATGCTGAGAGGAGATGTAAAGGGGGAAAGGGCATTATCTCCGGGTTTTCTTCTGTAGGAAACAAGGAAGAAGAAAATTGTTTTTAACTGAGGGCTGCAGAGGATCACACACTTGTTCATTATGACTTTCCTAATAATTAACCTTTGGGTTAGCATTAGGGATTCAAAGTCAATAAAAGTAAACTGAATCATGTATTCCTTTCGGAGAACAGCTATGGTCAAAGATGAGGAACACAAGTACACATAGAGAATTAAAGACTTCATTGGGGGCCGGCCCGGTGGCGCACTGGAGAGTGCGCCACTTGGGAGCACGGCGGCGCTCTCGCCGAGGGTTCAGATCCCCTGTGGAGACCGGTTCCCGCTCACTGGCTGAGCGCAGTGCGGGCGCGACACCGAGGGTTGCGATCCCGTTGCCGGTCCCTGGTGTGAGCGCGACACCGAGGGTTGCGATCCCGTTACCGGTCAGTAAAAAAGACAAAAAGGAAAAAAAAAAAAAAAGACTTCATTGGAAGCTGAGTGGCCCACTCTCTATAACAAAAAGTCTTTTAAAAAATAGGTTTTTAGGGCCGGCCCGGTGGCGTACTGCTACAGTGCGCCGCTTGGGAGCGCGGCGGCGCTCCCGCCAAGGGTTCGGATCCCACATACAGACCGGTTCCCGCTCACTGGCTGAGCGAGGTGCGGGCGCAACACCGAGGGTTGCGATCCCGTTGCTGGTCCCGGTCCGGTACGGGCGCGACACTGAGGGTTGCGATCCGTTGCCGGACACGAAAAAAGAGACAGAAAAAAAAAAATAGGTTTTTAACATTCTGGTCCAGACTTTCACACAGAAGACCTGTAATCCATGGTTTGTGAGGAGTTGCTGTTAAGGTTAGTGTGAGGCCAGTCTTGCTCAGAACTGTGGGGGGTGGTGGGTGTGGTACGGATTAATCATATATTCACATTAATTTGAAAGACTGCACTGTAATTCTCGGAGGTACAAAAAAATAGTAACAGCAATCATTTATTGAACATTCATTTTGTGCCAGATACTGGGCCTTATAGTGATTGTCTCTTTTAATTTTCATTATCACTCTAAAAATGAGGATGCTTTGTACATAGTAGGTGTTTCACATACAATGGTTGTAAATGAGTGATGAACAAATAATTGAATCAATGAATACTTTTGTTCCCATTTCAGAGATGATGAAACTGAAAAATAATTAAGTAATTTCTCCACAATCATTCTATGTTCAGATCCTGTGTAGAAGACCATGACAGCCAATGGCTATCAGAATTACTTTTTTTTAAAAATCTACTTGCCTCACCCCCCATAAAATTTTATCTGTATATTTCAGTCCCAGTTGTCCTGGACGCTAAGTTCTGAGTGACCCATTCATACCCTGAGCTCATAAGAGTATATATATATATCCCTTTTACCCAATGTCACTGCTGCCTCATGTCTAACATATTTGCTTATCCTGTTTATATGAAGTGTCTGTCTGTACAAATGGCTGCTGTATGACTCCTTCCATACATTCACTGGGGCTTTCTGCCCATAGGATTGTACCCATATGTGTGAGGGTCTATCTGTCTGCCAAAGTCTGGCACATCCTCAGCTCTGCATGTGAGGAGTCTTATGTATGCTATACATCCCCACAATGGAATTACCCCCAAGAAACCTGGAAATATAAATCAATCACAGGGATTCTGAGAAACTTATAGCTACTGCAGAGAACTGCCTTCAACTCAGGTAATCAATGGATATTTCATGAGCCTAAAGTAAGTGATATCTCTTTTCCTAAAAATTCTTCCTTTCCATTGTGTTTATAATGTCCTACCAACAGAATTTATTTCACCTCTTCAGTATCAGCCAAGTTAATTCAGTCAACAAGCATTTACTAACTACATGCTATGTGCTAAATACTTGGCATAAAGTTAATAAAATTATATAATAAATTAACATACGAATATAATATCATTAACATAAATTACCTATAAAAATATATAAATTAGTAACGTTAAATTTATATATAAATTAATAATGCCAAAGTGACAATCTTGCCCTCAATCGATAATAGTATACAGAACCCTCAAGGAACACTGTGGCCAGGAAAAAGTTCCCCAGGACTGACTTAATTTAATCTTTACCTGAAACCTCTGGTGAGTGAGGATATTTGCCAGGGAAGTCTGAAGCAACTCAAAAGCTTTTACATGAACATTTATTTGAATCTTAATTTGCTATCTGGCTAGGAGCTCTAGACCTAGTTCTTCTACCAACTATTAGCAAATCCCCAAGCCCTCTAAACCCCAATTTTCTTATTTGTAAAGTCGAAATGGCCAAGATATCAAGTTTGGTGAGGGATCAAATAAATTGTCCATGAAAATGGGTTTTTTTTAAGCTTATAATTCTAGTGAACATCACTTTGGTTATTTCCTCACTGAAGAACTCTATAATCTTTCAGTATGTGTGTGTGTGTGTGTGTGTGTGTATTTTTTTTTTTTAATTTCCTTTTACATGCTGTAGTTCTAAACCCTCCACAAGTTAAGCATATAATTAACCAAGTCTGGTTTGCCTCAAGCTGATGTGACAGGGTTTCATCCTAATTTTAAGCAACTAATAGTCCCATAAAACACGTTTACTTTTGCAAATCTTTTATATCAAGTTGTGAATGTTTGAGGAGTAAGGCAATACATATGTTTATATTTTCAAAGCAATAAAAAAGTTCTTTAGTAACTATGGTTACACACAAAATGTGACAAAAAAACATAATTCCTTCTTCAGAGATGTCATTCCATGTGAAAAAATTGAAGTATATGTCTATCTACTACCCTAAAGATATATGGTTCCAAATGCAAGTAAAAAGTACATAGTTCACTTAAAAAATCTGAAATGTTAAAATGAAACTTTTCTCTCAATCAAATGTCCATTTGATGCAGATCAAACTCAGGGGAGGCCATTGATATTCTGTAGACAATACAGTGTTTGCCTTCCAACTGTTGTAACAATTTCAACAATGAAATACTTAACAAAAAATATGGTAGGCATTTCAAGCCCTGCCAACAGCTCATTGCTTTGTTGCATTTATGCATTTCAGGAGAATACCTGGGTTCTAACAAGAATGTCTTTCTTGGATTGCTTATACGTGAGCTGGCTCAGCAACGGTGTTAGGAGTTAACGCCTGAGAACTCCTATTACAGGTTTTAAATAAATCTCTAATACAATTTCATGAAAACTCAAGAAGTGGTCAGAAGCTAGGCAGCAGCTATTCTTGTCAGAATAACATTATAAATTTGAATCTCAAATGTTAATAGTATTATTTACAATCTAAAAAATAAGTTTACTTTAAATTGGCTTATAAATACACTTATGTACAGAAATGATTTTGTTTCTGCTTCTAAGAGGACATAAAAAGAAAGACTGACTTACAAAACTTCTATATATTTTTAATTAGTAGCATTTTGAATGATGGCTTTGAAAGCTCCTGAATGTGCTCAAGCTAATTCTCTTGAGCCCCTCATAGTTGCCACTGGGGATTTCTGATATATGAATTTAAAACAAACAAACAAACAAACAAACAAACAAAAAACACAAATAAATATTTCTTTGGACCAATGAACCTGGACCTGCAAGTTACATTATGCATAAAAGCAGTAATTATGCCATGCATTTCTCTTCACCTTGAGTCAATCTGAGCGCACTAAAGTGCAGTGTTATGTTCTGACTTTTCTTTGCTGAATAGCAGCCTTCAGATACCACTGGGACTAACTTGGAATCAAGTCAGCTCTGCATTATCCTTGAGAACTTCCAGCCCAGCCCTTACACATTACTGCCTCACTGAGCATGACCACGTGATATTCCCAATGTGACAAAGTTCATTAAACATGAAAGGCATGCAGTCTAGCCTGCCTGTCTGCATTTCCTCATGAGAGGGTGAGGGGTCGTGAGGAGGAGGGCCAAGGCCCTGAAACAATACAAAGATAATCTGCCAGAACATCAAGATGTTCTTGCAGGCGCCTATGGTATCCTGCAGTAAACTGTTAAATGGACATCAGCTACTTTAACTTTATAATAGAAGTTGTTCTGAAGCTAACCTACATGGCTGTCAAAGGTTATTAGAATGAAAATCTCAAACAATTACAAAGTTACATCACCTCTTCAAAATCACTTTAGGAAAACTAAAAAAAAAAAAAAAAATGTAACTATGCTAAACTACTGAAGTGTCCAGATGGCTGAACCTTTTTGCTTACAGAAAATGAAAATTATAAGTATTTCACCTTGGTTTTTGCATTAACATTTGCTCCCTGCTTCAGAAGAAAGTTGACCATTTTCACGTTTCCATAGTGACAGGCCACAATTAAAGGAGTGTAACCAAGCTGTAAACAATGATAAAAAAAATTAAATAAGTGAAGTAGAAACTTACTACTCTGGTGGTTAATGCTCAAGGGAAGAGGGATTAGGTCGAGTTTCAGTTATTGTCAGATGAGTAACAATTCAATTTAAAGGTACGAATATTATTTAGCAGATTATATATGTGTGCTGTGGATATAACTATGGGTACAAGCAGATCCCTGACCACAAGGAACTTAACATCAGCAAGGGAGATCAGACACGTGTGACAATCTGACCAAGAACTAAGAAAGAGGCACAAATAAAACGATCTGAAAAAAAGGAAGAGAGACTGACTGATAGGATCAGGAGAATATGCAGGAAAGAGGTAGCTAAGATGGGCTTGAAGAATGAGTGCATGAAGATTCAATGACATAGACAGGGAAGAGCCATTTCAGGGCCTAGAGACAAGTACAGGAGGAAAAACGCAAAGCATCTGGACTAGTTAAAGCAATAAAGGAGAGGGTAGGCTTAAGCCAGGAAGACTGGAGTCTTCTTGTGAAGGGTCCTGATACCGTGCTGTCCATTTGGACTTGATTTTAGCAAAAATGGGGAGCCACTACAGTTTGTGAGCAGGAGAGAGTTATGATAAAGGTTATACTTCAGAATGTACTTTTGAGGAGTGAGGACCTGGACATGGGGTGAACAGAATGGGGGCTGCTGGGAATCCTCTAAGCTAGAATCTGTCATAATGATGACAGTGATTGCTTTACCTTTGTATGAGCATCCTGGTCAGCTCCATGCTTAGTTAGGATATCAGCAACATTCACTTTGTCTTCCTGGGCTGCAAGGTGTAAGGATGTGAGTCCACTCTATAGAAAGAATGGAACCAAAGGGCGATGTTTCAGGAAGAAAATACATTGCATCGTCCATAACACCATGTTGACAAAAGTCCTGGAAAACTCATAGCCTCTCCCCAGAAACTGCATCTTTTGATATCTAAGACAAACTCTCTGAGTTAACATGACTCTCCATCTAAGACATATTCTCTAAGTTAATCAACACTTTCAGCAAATTACATTTTCTATTTTCTATATTGTGTACTTATATTATTATGTGAGACTTTAAAATAACTCAGCTAATAATAAGCTCCCAAACAACATTCATTTCAAACCCATCTAGGCCTCCTGCTGAATCTATTTATTCCCCTAAATAATTGATCACTTCTACATTATAACCATAGCAGTAATCTGCATTTGCATCAATAAAATATCACATCAATGTAAGAAATGTACAGTTACAGGAAATAAGTTCAGAATAATTTTCTCTAGCATTCCAAAGACCGTATACCTTATTTTGAGTTTTGCTAAATGCTAAATTAAAAAAAGTAACCCCATCATTTATATAGCACCATTAACTGATAAGTTTTATGTAAAACGTTTGGCATATATAATCAAGTAATTACTTTATTTAATTGAATATGCAATTAAAGTACAGTTACGAATTATTGAAAAATGAATGAATGGAGAAAGACGGGGGAAAGTGGTTTATTCAGTCAACGACACACTTTGGTAGCTTTATTATAAACACAAATAGCTTCCATCAAGCAAAATTGAGATTTAAAGAGTATCTTTAAAACCTACGCCATCTGTATATTCAACAGATATTTTTTGAATACCTTTCATATGCCAAGAAGTGTTCTAGGCACTTGAACATAGCAGTGAACAAAAGCTTTTGACCTTACTGAAGTTATAGTCTGACTTATAGTATATTCATACCATATGTTTCTCTCTCCCACTATTGCTCAAATACCTAGTATATTTATCCTCTTCCTGTACATCCTGCAGGTAGAGGTAGCTACCTGTGCTCCGAGTCAACACCCCAAACCCCCCAGTTCACATCCAGTTAAAACCAACCAGCCCTGTTTGACCATCACTTTGCAGCCTGCTCTCCGGTATGAGCACGTTGGCTGAGAAAGTTAAGCGATGTTCTTCAAAGTTCATCATCTCCAGCCATGGTGCTCCTTTAGAAATCAAAAAGTACTTTGACCTTTAAAAAATATAAGTGATAACCTACAGAGAGAAATACATTCTCCTTGAGAAGAGGCTTTTTGTTGATGGCCTGGGGGGTTTTAATCCTTACAGTTCTGTATGAGCTCAGCTTTGAGTTTGATAAAATATCAAAATGAGATAGAAGACATCTTTTGCATTAAAATTTTGTCACTCCTAAACAAATATAATTTAATCTTAATGTATAAAAAATCTGAATATTAGGACAAAATAGAAGATTCTTTCTCATCTTGATTTTCTCCACATTAAAATAGCAAACATAAAAATATTTCTCATTAAGAGACAGTTGGTCTGTTTAAAAATGCTGTTGAAATGATTATTAAATGATGTGATCATCAAATCTCAAAGACATTTTTAATAGCATTTCAAATATGTGTGCTGTTTTCTACATTTGCAGAATGGAGTTTCTACAATACAAAATTACAAACTAACCACCAGTATGAAAATCCTCTATAGTTTATCATGGAAAACTTGCATATCCAAATCAAGTTATGTAAACCTTTCTAATAAGCCAAAGTTCCCTGTCCCCCACCCAGAGGTGCCTCTGATGCTTGGCTCAGCTGGAGGATGACTTGGGTGGTGGACATGGGCCTGTCAGCTGAGACACAGTTGTTTGGACCAAATCCCAGACGGAATCACCATCATCATCATCTCTCTCTGTCTCTCTCTCTCTCTCACTCTTCCTTTTTCTCTCTCTGGAATTTAGAATTAGAACCAAACACTAGGACAATCTGGACTGACTGCTTGAACTACAGCAATGTTAATGCTTGGGAACTATGGGGTAGCCTCTTCAGTCACATGAACAAAGAGGCAGAGAAAGCTGATCTACAGAGAGAGGGGAATGAAACGGACTTGCAGAAAAAAGTCAGGATGCAAAAATGTAGCCACACAGACTGAGAGTCTGTGAGAGTGCTCCTGTGCTTCCTGATGATTTTCTAATCCCTCATAAGGCTTGACTCCCTTCCTGTCCTTGGCTTCCATAAGATATCCCCACTTCCTTTTAATACATCCTTCCTTTTTGTTCCAAGTTATCTCTGATTGGTTTCCATTTACATTAATCCAGAAGATTATTGACTGAAGCAAGGGGCAAAAACAGAATACCTTGGTTGACATGTGGATATTGGCTCCCTTATCCAGAAGCAAGGTGACCATATCTGTGTGCCCCTCCTGCGAGGCCAAATGGAGTGGAGTTACACCTTGCTTTGTCACAATGTTAGTCTCTGCTCCATAGTTCAAGAGTGTGGAAGCTATCTGCATTTGATTCTTCTTGGCAGCAATGTGTAAAGGAGTATAGCCATTCTAAAAACAAAAACAAAAACAAAAAACACATGTATTATAAGCTTAACAATTGCCCTAATATGTACCTTTGAAGAAAATAAGAATCTCTAGTTAATAAAGAAGTTAAAAGTGAGCTTACAGTTAATCCAAACTCTTACACATCACAAGTTTCCATCCAACAATACCCAAATTACTGCAACCAAAATCACAAGGCATCCCATTCTACTATAAGACAGATAAATACCCAAAAGCCCAAAACTGAAAATCCCCTCCTTATAATATTGGCTCTCTCCTAAAGAGCAACTTAAATTAAGCCAGGTTCCTCTTCCACGTGAGTGTCCTTTAAATATCTGGGGATGGTTTTCATATCTCCCTTTAGTCCTCTCTTTTACAGGCTAAACTTCCCCATTCCTTCAACTATTCCTGGTAGAAGAACCATTTCTAGACCCCTCGCCACTAAGGATGACCTGTTCTGAACTGATTCTAGTTTGACAATATTGCTCTTGAATAGTGCTACCCAGAACTGAATGCTATACTTCAGAGATGGTTTTAATAGTACAGAATACAAGGGAATTATTTCTATGATCTTGTTATAATACCCTTACTAATATGCTTCTGATTGGATTATATTTTTTTAACTCATTCAACAAATATTACTGAGTACCTAGTGTATGCCAGGCAGTGTGCCAGGTATAGGAATACAAAGGTGAACATGACACGATCCCTGTTGTATCTAATGGAAAAGATATGAGACAATAAAACTGGCTTATGTTAATCCTGTGGTCAGTTTAAACCCTGGATCTCCCCTTCTTCTCCACAATCTGCTGCCTCAAAAGGAGAAACATGAGGCTACTAGTTTTATGTGATAGTTTGTGGAATGGATAACTCATACTTTGCTTACAGGAGATGAACTCTAAACCCCATACTTAGTTCAAAAAATAAATAAAATAAAATAAAATAAATCTCTGGAATAAATGTAATCTGAAACATATATTGTTTCTTTCCTTTTCTTTATCAATCTAGTAGAATCTTCCAAGAAAAATATGTGATAGAAATTAAAAACAGTGGTTTTGCCATTTACTGTAAAATGCTGACGGGAAAGACAGCATAATGATCAGGTGCTTCTTGTGAGACTACTATAAGAGGTATTTTAGGTCACGCTATTTCCTTAAATCTAACTGCAAAGCATACCAAAAAATAAAAAGCAGTTTGGAGAATTTAAATGTGTTCACATTAAATGTGTTGAAGATTTTGCCATCATCAAATCTTGATCCTCAAATGGCCTCATATATCTACTCTGTCCCCATTTCTCCAAGCAAAAATAGCATCTTTCATTTTGACAAATATCTCTCTTCAATCTGCTGAAGGAAATTCATCAGCTTTCCTTGGAAGCCTTTTCAGGACCTGATCACAGATCCCAGATGCTCCAGTTGCTTTAGAATATTGCATGTGGGTCCATGGGCTCTGTCGAATAAAAGACACATGGATTTTTGTGGACCATGTAAGTTTAGGCATCTCCTTTTTGCTACAATGTGTTTTTTCAGCCCCAGCTTCCCCTAATCCTTCAATATAGGCTCTACCACAGTTAGGTCAAGTATCAGGGCATTTGCTAATGAGACATATTGAAGAAGACAGGGTGCTTCAACAAAACAACAGGAGGACACCAAAGAGGACGTCAACTTTGGCAATGGAAGACGTCTGACCGTCTGGTAGACACTCCATCTGCAAGATTTGAAGAGCCCTCCTATCACACAAAGAGTAAAAATTTTGGAACCAAGTAACTGAGCCCTCCCACCCCCCTGGTAGAAAGAAGCAAAGAGGTTCCAGGAGCCAAGAGACTGTGTGTGTTGGGGGGAGGGGAAATTGTAGTGAACATAAGGAGAGTCAAAAGTGGAAACAGGGGTGGGTCCTGCCAACTGCAAGCCTCTTGGAGTGGCCCCAGAGCTGAGGGACACATACTCATTGGCCAGCTGGGGCAGATGAGTGGAAGACACAAGAGGAGCCTCCCCAAAACACCTGCTCCACTGCGGGCTCTGGAGTAGAAGATCGCTTTAGCTAGTCCTCTGGACTTGCTACCTGTGTGCCTAAGAGTGAAGACCAAACACGACAGAGACTAGAGATCAAGGCTGAGTTTTTCTCCTTAGGAAAACCATGCACATTATTTTATAATCCCAGTCTTCTTTTGCAAGTAGTTTGAGAGCCCCTTGTGGGAAGAGAACAGACATTTTAGGGTTTCACCTCCCACCAAGTGCCTACAATCCTTTTCCTTACACATAGTAAGAGTTCAGTAAAAGTGCTGATGAGTGTTGCTGAAGACTTTCATGTCTATGTTGAGAACAGTCAACCTGGAAAGCTAATGAAGAAAACGCTGGCATGTTAGACAGATCGCAGGTTTCATTCTATTACACAGCTGCTCAGTCTTCATTCTTTCATCCAAATTTATTTAGAACACACACCATACCATATTAGATACCTCAGGGTATCTGAGGTAACTGAATATGACCCGATCTCTGTCCTCATGTAGATTTTAATCTAGGTCAAATAAAGACATGAACATAAATGCAGAATTGATGAGATGACAGAAAAAAGGGTAAAAAGGAATAAGAACTGTTTGTATAATTATAAAAATTTGGCCCCCTCTTTTGACAGTTCAAATACTTTATTGTAACCTGTTTATTGGCATCAAAAAGATATGTATATGAGGGTATTTCAAAAAGCTCATGGAAAAAATGAAATTAAAAGATAATACAAATCTTTCTATGAACTTTTTGAAGACCTCTCATATATATAGATCTATATGTATGCGTGTGTACAAAGTTTTATATATATAATTATCATATTTTATTATATATAACATGTCTATATATAAAATACATGGTATTATACAAAATATATTTTTATATATAGTATTTCATTTTATTATATATGTATATATGAATAATTTACATAGATATGTGTGTATATATGTACATATTTATATAATGGAAGAGGAATAAATCTCTCTGCACTGCTTTGGGACACAATGGACCTAGTGATTAAGGACGGTGGCTCTAAAATCAGTCTGCCTGAGGTCATGTACTAGCTCTAACATTATTAGTTATGTGACTTCAGACAAATTAAACTATTTAAATCTCAATTTCTCATCCACAAAATGGAGATCACTATAAAACCAATCTCATGGGAGTCTTATGAGATTAAATGAGATATTGCATGTTAAGTGTTAGTCACAGTGTTTGGCACACAAGTGGTAGTGTGTTACTGTGTCATCTAACATACCACGAATATTTTCCCATCCCAATAAATATTATTTTTCTTTTTAAAATAAACCCTGATATGTTCTCAAAGTATGTTTGTTGAATGAATAAATGAAAGGTGCAATGATGACTTTATATATTACACAACATTCACATATATTTTCAGTGTAATGAAGGGGCGACTCAAATGGTGTGCAACACCCTGTATGCAGGTACAAGTCCTAGTCAGGGCTTTGTACAAAGTTGGTGCTAGATATATACCAAAAAGGCATTCCTAGTCTATCTAGAGCCTTAAAAGGATCTGCACTACAGTTAACACAGGTGGAAACATTTAAAAGACAAAGAAACAGAGTCTTTCATACAGCACAATGAAAAGTTTGAAGTCTCTGAAAGAATAACATGAAAAGATATGTTATATCATAGCATTCTGTTTATAGGGAAGAAGGGAAAACCTGTAATGCCTTTATGTTCAGTTTCTCAAAACTCAGACTTCAGTTTCTAAAACACTAAATGTTGGCGATATGATTCATCTCCACTGGTTTATAGGCACATCCTCTTAATATCTGCTGATTCTTTAAAAATCTTTAAAGGTTTTGTAGAAGCAATTGGCAGGAATACTAGTACCAAAAAAAAAAGAAAGAAAAAGTCAATACCAAAAACTACTATTGCTAGGACTAGTTACAAGTACAGTCCTACTATGTCTTTAAAAAACAATTCCCATGTGCCTTCAGGTTATAGGTACACGCTATGTCTGTAGGTTTTCTTGTGGTGTCCTCACCTTGGCAGTGGCATGAGGGGAAGCACCCTTCTCCAGTAACAGCAGCGCCACCTTCTGGTTGTCATAATGAGCCGCAACATGGAGTGGGGTAAGGCCATTCTGTAAAGGGTGTGTTTAAGTTTCAGCATTAATAAATTAGCATTAGCTGCCCTGAAGCTACCAGGATGCGTGGAAACTGACATCGATTAAGTTTATGTTAATTAATTAATATGGTCATTGGGGGAAAAAAAAGAATCAAAAATAAATACCTAATAATTTTCATATTAGAAACATAACTAAAACTGAAATTGATTGGTTGAGCTTACAATTAGCAAAGAGCATCTTTTGACGGTCACAATAAATAAAGATCTAAAATGCTTTATAAGAAATACTATATTAACATTGCAGGAATTCCGGCTCATATGGAGTTCTGGGCCCTATTGTGACAAGACACACATTTGAGGCATAGCCCAAATTGCTTTCTGAATCGGTATGTACATAGACGGTCATGGACAGACACTGCCACCACATCTATTTGGCATAGTTTCATCAGTTGCACTCATACTCATTTTAGAAGAGTGAGAAAAATATCTTTACATATCTCCAAACCTATGAACTTGACTGAGTTATATAATTAAAACATAGGAGGGGTCTTCAAAAAGTTCATGAAGAGATTATATTTTAATTCTATTTGTGCATGAACTTTTTGAAGAACTCTTGTACTACTGAAAACCTTTACCTTTCCTGCAGAATCTGCAGCAGCACGGCGTTGCAAGAGAAGTTTTGCCACATCCAGGCTTCCATACTTGGCTGCCACATGCAGGGGTGTAAAACCCTTCTGGATATGTAAAGAACAAAAGTAAAATTTAGTATTTATTTTTGCGACTCTTAAGAAAATATTTTTTATTTGTTAACATATTAAGTAAACTATGCTGATTCTCCATTTGGAAAAAATATTGGTAGCATTAAATCTATTAAGCATAAGTAAGAACTGGGATAAATAATGAAATTTAACATACAAAACTTTGGCTTGATAGACTAAACAAAAGAAATTTTATTATAAGAGCTTGGAAACTGACATTTGACTTGATGGATTTGGGATTTTTAAGAGTCACTAATGTCAGTAAACTGGCTCTGATTTGTGAGTGGGGGGGAGGAAGCCTGTCTTTTTCTCACCTCTGAAATTAATGGGATTGAGACAACAGCTGCCGTCTCTCCAATCCTTCTCTTTCTTTCAATCCTTTTTATAATACCTGAATTCCAATTTTTTGAATTTAAATTTTAGGATATTTTAGCAGCCGTGGGAAAAATAATTATTATTTGTGATTCAGTTGACATAGTTTCTACAGAAATGGCAAGATGAATGGTCTAAAGAACAAAAAACGCTCACTATTAAAAAGCACCTCCCAGCCTGACTGTTGTCCCTTTCCCAGAATACCCACACTGTCTAAAAGACCAATTCCTTTTGAAAAATATGTTCTACTTCTGGCATGACGTTGAGCTGATTAACCCCAGGCTTTTAAACATACTGAAGCTTTAAAGCTTTTTTAAAAGACTGCTCTCCACATGTGTTATACATACACATTCAATGTCTTGTATGCCTAACCAATAGCCATGCTCTGTAATTAGCAGTGTGTTATAAATACAAGTAAGTCCCTGGACTAAGATTCGAGATGGCACGGTTCCTACACTATGATCTCAAATCCATCCTCTTGGCCAGACAGTTTAAGCACATGCTCTTCTGGCATTACTGTGGGAGTGGGAAAATTCTAACACTGCCCAGGGCCTGTAAAACAGACAGTGAGAATATGGGTGGGTTGGGTGCTTTAAGATATGGCTTATCCTTGGACCTTGTAAGCTCTCATCATAAACAAAGAATATCACCCAAGAAGCAATATTGACCTTTTACAGTGTCACCAGGCTCATTATTTTTAAATAAAATGTTTTTCTTTTTGCTTCTTTTTTGAACATTTGGTACTAATAAGTTCTTGGAAGAGAGTGAATCTTCTGGCTTTTTCCAAGTGTTAGACAAACGTAGAAAGTATTTCTTCCTTCTTGCATTAGTTCTTATAAACTAATCTTTGTTGTTAAAGCTCTCCTCCTTCCACTCAATGCACACAACGATTGGGTGACACTTGGGATGTAACAGAGTTCTTTGAGAAAACCACATGATGAGCAAGAAAAAAGTAAAGTCCTTATCCTGAAACTCCTGCTGGAATAGTGACCCAACCCCTTAAAAATCTGGACATTCTTATTAGACAAAACTACATAGATTTTTTACTGTAGAATCACAAAATCAAGGTTAGAAAGCATCTCTGGAGTCATGCATCACCCTTCTTACCCCGTGTTTATCTCATCAAGATTTCATTTGCCCTCTGGTATTTATAAACACAAATAGCTTTAATGATGGTGAGTCACCCACCGTTTAGCCCTACTTGGTTGCTCTGTTAAACCGCCCTGTTGAACAGTGTCTTCTATTTCATTGTCCTAATTTACTGCAGATTTAAATACATTTTTTAAATCCTAAAATTAAAAGACAAGGGTCTATGTTTTATTCTCTATTTCTGTATTTTGCATATCTTAATTTTAGTTATTTACAACTTCATCTGATAAGACAATTACCAAGTCTCCTTTGGGTTTTATTCCTATTATTACACATTTGAAATGTTTGTTGTTTAGTGTCTGGGTTTTAAAAAAAATTTTTTTTTAAATCCTTCTAACTTTTCAGATTTCAGAATTTGAATAGTTATCAATTTCTTGTATGAAAACATTTCTCACTGCCATAGTCAACCAGATAAGCCATAACAGCTAGTTGGCTGCTCATGTACTTCTAAGAGGACAGATGCCCTATCACTGTCTCAGTTCATGTTCATGCAGTATGTATGCCTATTCATCATGAGCATATTGAAATGGTCTTTTTATTAATCTTAATCACTGTAGTATTTATAAGAATTATTTTGCCCTGTGACAAACTCACTTGTTCCAAACTTTCACTGTTTCATTTGTTACTTTTTCTACTCTTCTGCACTGGCTCAATTTCTTTTGCTACAGTTAGCTGAGTGTGTTCCTGTTTTATTACAAGTCACCTCCAAATAGCAAATTTCAAATAGATGTATAAAGTGGAGGAAAAATTATCCTGCCCTATCATGAACCTTTCAACATAAGTAAAATCCAGGCTGGTGTATATTCTTTGTTTGACTGCAATAGCAACTAATAAAGTGTGAATCTCCAGCTCAGCTCTGTTTAAACACTGTAAATACCTAAGCAAAAGTGTAGTTGGTAGAGTAAAGATTGGAGATTAGAATGGGAATGGGAATGCCAGATTGGTGATGGCTGATCCTAGGATTGGGACAATGCAAGATTAAGTAAAGTGAGCTTCAGTCCAGTACTACAACTCTCACCAAATATAGTACTGCTGATGTAATGCAATATTCTCTTCCACATTAGGAGTTCCAGTTCATTGTATCTGAGAACCTTACTTTTTTTTCTCTTGAGAATACATCATGGATTTTATAATGGAGAGAGGAAAAAGTAGCTTTTGATTTACAGAAATCAATTTAAAAGTACTAGATACCTGTACTGGAAACAATACTGGCATTAATTAGAAAAATGGAATCCAACACTCTTTATTGAAGATATTATATGGAATGTCATAATCCTCTTTGATTATTTAGACTATGAATCTAAAATATTCAGAGGAAAAAAGCAAGCCAGAGGCCTAAAAGAGATCTCCCCTTGTTGATACTATGTGTAGCAGAGCAGAGGTGCCCTGACTTATGAATCCTCTTGGTCCATGTTGTCCTGAAACCATTTTCCTTACCTTGGTGGCTAAAGAGTGGGCTGCTCCTGCTTCCAAGAGGACTGATGCCACATCTACCTGGCCTTCCCGGGCAGAGATGTGCAGTGGTGTGTACCCATTTGTAGTGGCTGCATCTGGATGAGCCATGTGTTGTAGAAGCAGCTGGACAATTTCTGTCTTACCCAGGCGGGAGGCAATATGCAAAGGTGTCTGTTCCTCCTACAACTCAAGTTGAGTAAAAAGTTAGTGCCAGGCAGACCAACTTCACTAATAGTATGTTTCACTCAGATGTTTCATGATGACTTCTTGGAATCTCTTGGAACTCCTACCCAAAAGGAAATCAATACTACTCTGCTCATGGTTTATTTTATATTTTGCTATAGAAGTGATCTATTTGGTCACAAAATCTCCCTTAGATTTTTTAAAAATATGTACTTCCATGAACTTGGTCATTTTCTGGGCACTCAAAAATATTTCCCAACTCATTAAGGCTTCAGTTCACACTTACGTTTAAATATAAATTAACTCATGGTTTTGAATAAGAACAAAATCTAGTCCAGAAGTCCTAAGACCTAGATTCTCATCCAGGAGCTTTCATTTAGAGGCAGGATTTATTCTGGGAACTGTATCAAGAGAAAAAGAACCAGGGATGCTGTAAAAACTTTGTTCTACTACACTCAGCAGGACAAGGATAAAAATGCTGGTCATTTTCTTCAAGGAGAAACTGTGAATAAAGAAGATATTGTAATCTGGCTTGAAAAGATGTTGTTCAGGAAACACTGCAGATGGGTCTGGGACTTGCATGCAGGACTTCAAAGAAGAAATGGAACTTCTTGCTGGCAAGAAGCAAATAGAATAAACTACTTGCCAAGTGCTTTTCATTTAAAAGCAGAGAGAGGATATAGCTGGGTATAAGGGGCAGGAAGGACATGTTCAAGGAGGCTCAAGAAATCACCTGACTCTAATGTGTAGTCTGAAATAATGTTTTCAGTGTTAAGAGAACAATGCCAAATCACTATCTCCTTTCAAAGAAAAATTAAGTGTAACCTTAGTGATGAAAAGAGGTGTATCTTTACAATCTGCCCAAGGGCATGTTATAATAAAAGTGAGGAAGGAAGAGCTGGGCCAGCTTCCAGGGCTGAGAATGAATGGAAAAAAGATAGAATAGAATAGGGAAGATTTGTCCAAACAAATGCAGTAACTTAAAATCAGAAGGAAAGAAAGAGGAAGCTGCAGGAAGAGATGAAATAGCATTGCATGAATTTCGGGGTGATGAGAAGTAAATAATAAGTAATAGTGATATAATTATTTTAGTAACAGAACAGGAATTTTATAAAAATTTGCAATTTATGAACTTTCTTCATGTACAATTCATATGTGACCCTATTCTTATAATAGACCTGAGAGAAAATTAAAAGATAAAGAAATTAAGAGGAATTAAATGCATTCTCCAAGATTGCCCAAGATTACTCAGCTATTAAAATAAGACTTAAATTCAGGTATTGGATTCTAAAGACAACATTTCTTTGCCTATACATTCTACAGAAACAGATACAATCAGACGGTCACTAAGAAAACTAACAGAATGAGGTGACTATCTACAGGAAAGGAGGGTGACAATGTGTTAGAAGATACAACTTCCTCTAAAATAAAGAGGAGAAAATAGAGGAATGGAGAGAATGAACAGTTATAAAAATAAATGGTTAGCAAAACAAACAACGATAAAAAAAACCAAGGAACTTGAGAATAGCTATGTTGAACATTTGTCATTTCTGGATTTCCCTTCTCAGACCTCTGGCCGTAGAATTTGATAGAAGTGGGCATTTCAAGGGACACGTTCTAAAATGCGTTTTTCAATGAGTAAGGGGAAAAGTTGGGGTGGTGATGACCCTTCAATCCTTAGCTGAGAAATGGCAGTCCTTGGCTGGTGGTAGCTACGTAACTGGTTAAATGATCAACCCCTGTTCCTGGTTCTCAGACCACAGAGCATTGAGGTGCTTGTTTTTTAAAAAAAATTAAGAAATAAGATGTCTCGCCCATTTAAAAAAAAAATTGGTACAATTTTATCTGGAAGTGGAAAAGGGAAGAATATACAAATATTGCTAAAAAGAATCTTTCAACTTATAACTAGGGATATAAGATTTTTGGAGGTTTGGACAACTATTTCCCTGTTGAAATGCAGAAGTTGAATTTGCTGCCCCAAGCTAAAGTTAATTCAAGCCAAGACAAAGAACTGGAAAAGTGTAGAAGAAAAGACTCATGGCAAGAGGAAAAGAAATGAGGGAAGCCTGATCCCCTAGACCACTTCCAAATATAAGAGGCAACAATTCCCTCATCACAAAGCATCACTGACTGTTACACAGTCTGGACCAGGAAGTAGATAAGGTCTGCTTTACCAGCAGAGTCTATGGTTTTACTTTGCTGTAAGGCAACCAAAATTAGTGAGACTTGCTGAGTCCTTTTACAAAGAGACAGAAATGACAGTGCCTGGGACAAGGTTCAAAGATTTGACAAACTTCTTCTATTAGTTACTTGCTAACAGGATTCTCAGGAACCAAATACGCTGGCAGCTAGCTAAAGTTTTAAATGAGATAAGTTTCAAGTAAACTGAGGGACCCTATGATTGCTCAAAACCTAAAGCAAATGCCAGGCCCCGCAACTGTGCCAACAGAACAAGCTAAAGCAAGAGAGCTCCCAGATGCGCAGTCTGTCTTATGACTAGTGAATATAGTTTGCTGCTTACACTTTTGAAATTAGAGATATACTGTGATTATACAGGTTTTCTTTTGTTACATATTGGGAGTAGGCAAAAATGTGGGTTAGCCCCATGATTACATAACCATGGATATTGTTTTTAAACCCAATTAAAGAATACAGACTACCTAGAAATCTTGTCCTTGGAGCTCAGTGTAGTAACTGGGCATAATTTTTGACTATCTCCCCTTCAGGAGAGGGTGAATTCTAGTGCAATAGTGTTAGGTTAGGAGAGGAAGTTTTTAGAGTTTGTGTACATGTGTGCTGTCAAATCAATAGGTAAAACAGAGCAGATATGTGCTCATATTTATGCCCAATACCTGTTACACCCCACTCCTGGGAACAGCCCCCCCTCCTGTGGGAGAAGTAGACACCCCACACTCCATGTGGCTCCAGATGGGCTGCCAATTATCTTACTGCTCCGTATAAATGGGCTATAGGAATGGGTGCAAACCCAGGCTTGATCCTATATCCTGGTCATATCTATCAGCTCAGGGAAGGTTTGTGACTAATTTGAAACCACTGGTTTGTTTGGATAGGAAAGAGAAGGACAGTCTTTACATGAATGGCAGGTAATGATGTCAGCAAAAAGAGTTAGGCAAATCAGCACAATTCTGACTTTTATGACCCTAGGCCACCCTACACCACAGGGTTGCTTTGTGTATCAAATAAGATAATTTGTATTAAAATGCTTTATGAATTATAAAGCACTGTACAAATGTTAACTAAATCAGAGCCAGAGCCGTTGCAAGGAAACATTAAAGGATTAAGTGAAAATAAAATACTCACAGTGAAAATACAGAGTAAAACAGCATATATGAAAAAGAAAACACTAGCTCCTTGCTGCTCAAATTATAATCTCAGATCAGGAGCACTGACATCTCCTCTGAGTTCATTAGAAATGCAAAACTGAGTGACAATCTGCATTTTAACAGGATCTGCAGGTGGCTTTTAGGCATATTGACCTTTGGGTAGCACTGTTCTGTAATGCTATGGTATTTTTCCTGTTCACAATAGAAAGATGCTATATGGAAGGGATTTCAGTTGCATTTTAGGATAGATGGTAGAGCTGAAAAGAAAAAAAATATCCACAAGATTACATAAGAAATTTGATAATTAAATGAGGAGGAATAAAGAATTAAGAGATGTTTATTTGCATATGTACATTATGAGACTAAACGTAGTTTTAAAAAAGAAATAAAAAAATAAAGCTGATGGAATCTGCATGTAAAATAAATACAGTATTTCAAAGGAAAGTGTCTGTAGCCAGTGGTGCTTTAAGGAAGGGGGTTCAGATGTCATGCAGAAAGGTATAAGGCTATAATAATACGTTAAATCATTATAGGAAAATTGGCAGAGATACATTAAAATGAGTAAAGTTCCATTAAAAGTAAAATAAAATTTGAATAACAGAAAAACATTAAGGGGTTTTATTTTAAGAGAAATGGGAAACTCTTTTATTATTAAACATGAATTACAAAAAAAATTACCAGAAACATTACCACAATTTCTGGTAAAAAAAAAAAAAAAAAACAGTGAAATTCTTGATACTCAGAGTGCATTGGTTGGCCATAGAAATATTTTTAAAATACCAAATGCCAGGTAACCTTAAAATGAAACAAGAAAAATGCCATGGCAGGGGAAGAATGTGGCTGAATAACAAAAGCTCTAAATATACAAGAATATCATGTACCAATGATGATTACCAAAGAACATAAACTACACTACATGTACAATAGATAGAAGGCAGATATAAACTAAAACAAGAGTGATATCAAGGTTGTCCGTGTATCACTGGATTCTGCATGAAGAACCCTTTACAAGAAAATGCCTAATGAATTCTCCGACTCAGACAATGTTAACAAAGTCTGAAAATGAGTGTTGAAGTTTCTGAGTCCAATGCTCGTATTTTAATGTTAAAGACCAGGAAGTGAAGTGACTTGCCTGAAATCACTTAAAATTTGTGACTCCAGCCAGATGCTTTCATTCTAATACCTCACTGTTTCTAAAATGGAGTCATGATGGCACAAAAAAAAACTGAAGTGAGTTCTGCCTTAGGTGTATCAAATACTGAAGAAGAGAGAAAGTGTTTAAATAGTCCATGAGAATCCCAATGATGCTAGTGCAAAAGTAATGGAACAAAGTAGAAAAGGAAATAAAAGATACAGTACATTGATAGAAATTACTGAATTTATTGAAAAATGAGAATAAAAAAAAAAGAAGGAACAATCAACCTGTGAGAGCACTGGAAGTGATTAGATACAGGACAAATCTGATCAAGCAATCTCTTCTATTTTGGAATAGTGAAAATGTAGAATGTCTAAATATGTAAAGGCAGAGTAAGAAGAAAAGTAGACCTCATTATAAAAAGGAGGAAAATGAAAGAGATGAAGGGAAAACATTAAAATTTTGAGTACAATTTGTTTTTAAGTAACTAGTAAGAAATGACTGTAGAAAGGTGATTGGCTTTAGTGGTAAGAGATGAATTTTAATATGCATAACATCTATGTAACAGGTAAAATTTTTAAATTTGTGAAAATAAAGAGGTATTTGTGAAAGTGCTTTCCTAGGTTAAAAAAATTATTAAAATGTTAGTCAGTGCCATATTTCTTAGAAGCTAAATTGAACATTTTTTCAAATGTTAATGTTTCTGAAATTGTGGTGCATTTTTCATTGTGTATATTGACTTACATAGTGTTTCTTGTTTGCCTAAGAACTGTTACTGAATTGATGCTTTCATTTACGGTCCATGGCATTTCTAAATAAAGGAAATGAAGAATAACACCCTCTCTTAAAAATGGGACTAATGCAATGCATAGAAAAGGACTTCAGAGCACCAGCACCTACCCTGGCTCTGGCGTCGACAAGGGCACCGTTTCTCAGGAGGCATCGGACCACTTCCACCTGCCCTGCCCGGGCTGCCATGTGCAGTGCTGTCTCCCCACGCTGCCAGGAAACAAAGATGGTTACGTCATAAATAAACCCACTGCTGTGGATGGTAAAGAATAAAGATGTCCCTTTTTGTGAAATTCAGCAATATATCCAAGGATTTAAAAAATCTATAAAAAGGCATAATTATTGAGTCTGGAAAAATATAGTTTTGTAAGTTCTTCATCCTCATGAAGATAAAACAAATGTTTACTTTATTGTTTTCAGTCCATGACAAACTAGTGAACTTACCCAAACATCCAGGATACCTTGAGGTTTAACTTCACAATCAACCTAGCATAACTTAGATTGGTTTTGGTGATGAAGTTATCTTTTATCCTACAAACCTAAAGTCTATAATGTCTTGTGATCACAACTTGATCCCATCTCAATGAGAAACTTTAGGTGCTAAAGGTCAAGTCAATGCATTGCAAAAAATCACATTACTTGTACCATACATAAATCATTTCTTTTCAAAATTTAAAATTATTTCTAAAATCATTATTTTACATCTGATTTATCTCTGTGTTTCAAGACTAGACAATGACTTTTCATACAAGAGATCTGATTTGTCCAGGAGGTCCCCTATTTAAGATTAATTGAACATATTTAATTATAGACAGTTATTTGAGAGGGCTACTGAGAGATGAGTAAAGTAACTGTTAACAATGTCATCTAACGATACAGGCTGCACTGGGCATCCCATTATTCCTTAAGTCTTTGTGCCACACCAAAATATGACACAACTTATCAGGAAATTGGCTTAAGGCGCAGCATAAAAGATGAGGATTAGATGTAAGAGAATATTCACATCGAAAAGGTCATTATTACTGCCTCTAAGAGACGTTTTTAAAAATCAGCATATTTTAAAACCATATAGTTCTAAAGAAGTCAGAGTTTCAGTCATTCAAATAATTTTACAGCTAGAACAAGTTATTGAAATAAAAATTATTACAGACTTATTCACCACAACTATTTTAGAAAATAAGGCTGATTTCAACCAAGTGAAGCAAATCATGCCAAATAAACTAAATTGATTTTAAAGTTTGTTATGGTAATTGGATATTTCTAACAAACGCAGTGAATAATTTCTTCTGATTCTCTGCACAACAAACACTTAAATCTAGAAACTCTAATGTGAACTTTTGTTTGGTATGTAGCACACAGTTCATTTTCCCCAGTATTCAGAGATCCATTTGTTTTGAAGTTATGAGAAATTCATGTCAAATGATTTGATTGTGGAAGCATTAAATTGGCTTTCTACTTTAGTTTTCTCTTCTTCATTGGTGACTCATTTGTCCTCTAATGGCCTTCTTTTCTTATGACAAATTTTGACTTTCTTCAAGTAAATGTATCTGGAGTTGTTTTACAAAATGACATATTATTGGAATACCAATATTTGTCTTCAGACATTAGATATATGGAAAGATCTTTCCTCTCTGGACAACTATGTTTTTACAACTTGTTTTCTATTTCACGCATAACTTGTTTCTAAATAGATGAGGCTATGATCTTCTAACTATTAAAAAAAAAAACCTCAACTCTTTATTTATAGGTCTGATAAAAGGTTAGCAATTTTACTATTTTTGGTAGAAATGAAGGCAAGAGTAAAGTTGCTTATAAAAAGTTAAGTCAAAGAGGCCCTAGGAGTTCCTACTCAGTGATGAATTTAGATGTTTATTTTACAAGCCAAGCCTGAAAGGGATTTTCAAAACCTAAAAATGTTTCCAATACTAGTCTTAATATTTCCAAACCCTTATTTTATACTTAAAATAAGTTATTCATTATAGTTTTTACACACTTGAAATTGATGCATTAGGTATAAAATCTAAGATATTAAACTTTATATTCCCAAAGAAAAGTTACACATATATACACCCACACATGGTCTCTCCACTTTGCAGCAATGGTCTTGTTTAATTCTCATTAAATGACTCAGGGGTAATCATTTTTATTGTAAATTGCCCTTACCCTTTTACATTACCATTGTTTATACATAAGTATAAATAAAAGAAAATGAAAGATAGTGTTTATTGTTTTAATCAATGACTTCCATTTCTTGATTATTAGGTACCCCATCTTATTCAACAGCCTAGTTTTCCTTATCTTAAGCTGATTAACTTTAAGGACTAGGGGAAACTTTTAAACATAATATAAAATATGAACTTTACCATGAACCCATTTATTTGTTATAAGAAGAAAACTTTTTAATATCCTGAATTGTACTCTAGATAGAATAGTCCTAAAAGTGCTTGGTTTTCTACTCCCATGGTTGTCAATGAATACTTTGGATTATGAATGTACTGTAACTTGCAGTTCAGCCTTCTAAGTTTCAAAGTGCATTTATAAGCTTTCTGGAAAAGGAGTTTTTCAGTAAAAATATCTGTACGTGATTGAGTTTTGGAACAACTCATACTTGGAGTGAATTTTCAGACAAAAGCAAGTGTGGCAAGAGAATGGATATGCTCATGTCCAAAGCAGGCACTAAAAGTCATGCCCCTTTTCTCAATTTAAAACTGACTCTGCTGACAGCTACATTGACTTCCACTTTGGCCGCATCATGTTGCAAAGCATTAAAGCACAACAGAAAGCATTGCATCCAAAAATGCAACGTGATTTCAGGCAACACACAAAGGCTCCAAGGGTAGGGTACTTTGGCGTCAGGAAATAGCCAACTCTGACACAGCAAGCAGGCAGTCGGTGTTCACACAGTCTCTTAATCAACTTGCAAAGAGTTTTGGATTCAGTAGCTATATCCTTATGTTCTGAGCATACACCAGTTCACAAGCATCCCGTTGCTAGACAAAGTTAAATTCTTCTAAATGCAAGATTGCCAGATTTAGCAAATAAAAATACAGGATGCCCAGTTAACTTCTAATTCCAGACAGACAGTGAATAATTATTTTAGTATGTCTCAACTATTTCATGGAACATTCTTATACTAAAAAAAAAAAAAAAATTCATTGTTTATCTGAAATTCAAACTTAACTGGGAGTCCTGTATTTCATCTGGCAAATTTATCTATAGGTACCTGCTCTCTGAAGGACACATCTTACAAAAATAAAAACAGAAAATAAGTAGGAAATATGGTGCGAAGGGGATTTTATGGGTAGATACTTCTCAAATATTTGTTTTGAGGGGCTTAGAGGGAAAAAGAATGTAATGGACAAATGAACAGATAAAACAAAGTGGAGAAATTTAGAATGATCAACAGTTGGAAGTTAAAGTCTAATCCAGCAATTGCCAAATTTGGGATTCTTTAGGAAACAGAAAAAATGTCAAAAAAATTTATTGTTTTAATTAATGTTTTATTTGAAAATCTGCATATACCTATGTAGCATTTTTTTTTTTCTTCAGAGGGGAGCATAGTGTAACTCTATATCCATTAAAAGATTTGGAATTGTCCAGTTAAGAAGCAAATTAAAAGTGGCTGCAGAATTCCATTTTATGTCTATTATTCTTTGAAGATTTTGCAAAAATCTCCCCTAAGAAAGATTAACCTAGGGGATTGCAATCAAGCACCCCACAGAACATATTTGTGTATGTTATTATTATAACATGATATCATGACATAATATCACTATTGTTTCTGTGATACTGTAGGCACTGGAAGGCAAATTTTAAAAAGTGGAAAAAAGAGGGAGGGGAAAGGAAAAGGTGGGCAAGTACACGGAGTATTTTTCTTAAAAGTTACTGGCCTGTATGTAAGTCTGCTCAGGTCTCAATGAAAACAAAGAATAGTGGTTTTCTCTTTTTAAAAAAAGATGATTTCTTTAAGTTCTAAGAAGTACGTAGAAATTAAACTCTAATTGGCACATTATGAAATTCTTCTTATGCTGAATGGATTAAAGATTAGCATATAATATTATTACCTTAGGGCCAATAAGCTATAATTAGGGAAACTTATAAATATAGACTTCAAATCATTTAATGATTTTATGCTCGCGTTGTTGAATAATATGGAGAGAGTAATAAATAATACTTAAAATCAAATAAATTTATTTCCACAGTGGATTTTGCCCAGGCATCATAAACTTCAGCACAGAAAGTATGTAAAATACAGAGATACAAGAATGTGAAAGGAAATACAAATAAAAAGTGAAATTGGACATTGTGTTTCACAACTTAACTGGAATGAGATAATAAGCACTAACATTTATTCGGGGAGAATTATTTCTGTTGCATATATATTTTTTTAAATCTCAATATTCTGGTGGCCCCTCTTGAGCTTCAAATACATGACTGCACCTTGTGCAGAGAAGTTCTCTCGCTCAGGAGAAAATTTGCATTAGATGGTTTGCCATGATACAATGACCAAAGTATCCAAGAAAATGAGAGAAATATAAAGAAATTAGAAGTAAAAATCCTAATAGATTAGGAAGAAGAATTCTGGGATATCCACTATTCATTTGCAGAATGAAGGCTGTCTGGAGACCAACATTCGTTTCAGGATACATGGCATAACTATTTCAGGTAAGAGAGGCCTCCATTCTAGCAAACAAAATCAAATCAAAATTAAAAATCAAAGTAAGGTTAGAAAATGGAAAATCCATGAATTGAAGTAGGGAGAATTTAATATCACATAAAAGTCCCTAATATTAGTCTATTTCTGTTTAATCTTTTGACAAGGTTGATTATGGTACTGACTTGATATTTTAACAAAAATTAAACCTAGAATACAATTTTAACCTAGAATACAATTCACTCAAGCAGCTACAGTGAGCCCTGAATATTTTATTCCAACCAATTATCTATTCACTTTCAGACTTTTTAAAATATATTTTGATTTTATAAATGCGTTTAAGATGCATACTCAATCCACGCTTAAGCTATCTCACTCCACAGCTTACATTTTATTTTCTAAAACATTTCTTACTCTATAGAGATTCTTTTTGGTGAAGTTCTGGCAATTATTTCAATAATACGTTATTACAAGGGCTCTTCTCAAGGCTGGGTTGCTTGCTTTGATAACATACACACAAACATATACCTACACACACCCACGCTCCGTTCCTCTCGCGCTCTCTCTCCCTGCGGTTATTCTGACCCAAGCCATACTCACAATGTTAGTGACATCTGGAGAGGCTCCGTTCTGCAGCAGAAGGAGGACAATGTTCAAGTGGCCCATGAAGGCAGCCACATGTATTGGTGTGAGGCCAGACTGCGAAACAAAGCAACAGCAGTTTTACTCCTCTGCACCGGTGAGGCTTTGGGGCTTCTTCAGATAGATAAAACTTGAGCGAAGAGGACAGAGGGTGAAAGGAAGGGGAGGAAGGAGTAAGAAGGAATGTTTTGTGATAAGCTGAAATATTTTTTCTACCTCTGTGATAGCTTGGATTGAAGCCCCATATTTCACCAGCAGTTCCATGACTTTGATGCGGTTTTTCTTGCAGGCAATGTGCAGTGGAGTAAAACCATTCTGTGCAAAAGACAATCAAGTTAGTTGAAAACATGCAGAAATGATTCTCACACAACTCCATGCTGGCACATTGCAGGCAATAATGCTACATTGTCACATAATGTTACCATGTCTTCAAACCCTGCAGGTGTTGGAAATGGGAAGAAAAGTGAGTGTGTGTTCCTGTGGTCACTGAATTTTGCTTGTATGTGGTGTACTTGGATATAATCCTGTTTGTGTGGTTAAAGAGAAAGTAAAAGTGAAGAAAAATACATGGCCTTACTCTTTCAAGAAAAAAGAAAATAGAGGAGAAATTATATTTTAGAAGTTCTAAGATGTTTTAAGTTATATTGATTGGTCAGGTTATGAAATGACCTGAAGATGCTTTCAAGATAAGCATGTATCTTTCTGATGCAGGATTGTTTCTCAAAGCATAAGAATTGTCCATCTATCTTACTTCAAAAATCTAAGAACATGACTGCCTCTCTAAAATATTACAGCTTTGGTACCATTTTCTTTCCAGAGGAGGTGTTTCAACTGAGCAGAAATCATTATTTATGTTGATAATATTTATATCCAAAAGTTATATTTTTATATTAAAAGTTCTTATAACATATATGCCAATCAGATAAATTTTATTTTATAAATAAATGATTATTAAGTTCCTCAATATTTTCAAGAGAAGTATGAAGAATTTTGGGGATAACAGGAAGAAATACCTCTTAGGGGCAAAGGAATGTGGGTGGGAAATCTGTAAGGTACTTTCTAATTTTTCAAGTCAGGTTAATGTCCAGGAATTGGGGAAAGTAAAAATTTCTTAACTAGCCCCATCCTTACTCATTATATATTATATTTATCTTTCTATTTGAACAATGATCGTGTGCTGAGCTATGTCTATTCTGCCAATGAGCAGTTTTGCATGTCCTGATGTGGACTGATGACCAGTCAATATTTTCATACACTAGCAGTCTCAGGAAAACATATGATCTTACTTAAGCTAATGAATTCTTATTCTTCTCAATGTAGTGATAAACATAACTAAGTCATTCTCCTGTTTATGAGCTATAAACATTGTGATATGTTATAAGTTCATTGACCACTATGCAACTGAAAATTAACATTTTTAACTCCTTATGAAAAAATGAGTGTCCTTATGTAATTGCACATTGTCCTGAAAGTATATTTGCTTCCTAGGTAATTATTAATAAATTGATTCCAATGAAAAATTCATAATAAAAATAATATTTACTATTTGATGATTCTAATGATAATCTCTCAACTAATTACTGATTGTCTGAAGATGAATTTTAACTGAAATAAACAATGTAAACATATAGAAAAAAGATGCGCTTTTAGTTTAAGAATTAGGAAACGAGGCATAAATTAGTGCATGTCTAACACTTCCAGTGATTATTGTTAGAATATAAGTGAAGCAAGAAAGATTTATTCAATATTAGACCTTGGGAGTCACAGAAGCTGCTTTAGGGATAGCTTCTTGCAGTATTTCTCTTGAGCAATTCCCAGTATGGTATATATAAAATGCTTCTTGAAGCAGCAATACTTCAGGCATCACTTTTGTATTAGCCTATGTTTGAGTAATCATGTCATATACCACCTAACAGTCAGATATATTTACCATTTTAAAATCTTTTATTTCTCCCAAAGAGATAAAGTTCAATTTTTTCACACTTGTATTCTGACTCCCTCCAGAGGTATCTAGAGCTTATTTTACAATTTCCTATTTTTCAACTTTTATTTTCCATTTAAAATTACTTAACACTCGAGGTTTCATATCTATCTGCTTGCAACTCGCTAGTTTCAGAAATGTTGCCTTGGTGTTGTCTTAAATCTATCCTTGCTCACCATCATCTAATAGCAAATTATGAAAGCATGAAGTGGGCAGCTTGTGGCGGATGACAAACTGAGAGGGATTAACTACTGTCTGTAACCATGCATTGCTGGTATAGGCACCACTGGTCAGTCAGTGTAGGTTTGCTTGTCTCAATCTGTATTCAGTTAATGAGGACTGGGCCAGGTTTACCAGGGCTCTGGCGTTTGGATTGGCTCTCTTGTCCAGAAGGAGTTTGGTTACACGGTAGTGGCCACAGTGTGCAGCAACGTGGAGGGCCGTCAGGTAGTCTAGGGTGACATCATCAACAGGCGCCTTGTGCTGTAACAAGTGCTTCACACATTCCACGTGGTCCCCCTGTGCAGCCATGTGAAGTGGAGACAGCCCATTCTGCACATCAAAACAAAACAAAACCAGGTCCACGTTTTTTCATTACTCTCAGGTTCCAAAAAATAGCAAAGTCAATTTTTGATCTCAGTTAATGGCAGGGGAAAAAATAATTTCCATTTGACATCAGAATATATAGCAGATTGTGTCTAGTGGAGAGGGAAGCTAAGAGAACATTTAATTGCATAATTAAGCTATTCTTAGGCAAAAGCACAAATTAGTATGTCTTTTGTAAATGAATACATAGTATGTGCTGAAATTCACCCTGCTTTTACAATCATTAGGGCAATATTAGAGATATAAAAATAAGTGATAGCTGATGCTTACATTATTTGTATCCAATTCTATACACAGCAGTCTACATCCAACTAATCTCTCTGCCCTGCATTTATTTACTTGTAAGTAGAGAGGGAGGCGGGTGAAGAAGAGGCAAGTGGTGAGTCGGGGGGTAAGAAAACTTTGATTATTGCTTAGGTCCATGCAATTCTGAAATTCCGTGATTCATTTTCCTATAATGTTATGACACTTGAAGTTGGAGAGAGCGGGCAGTTAAGGGCTAGAGAGTGTGAGGCAAATGTGGACCATGTTCCAGTGACCTCAGAACTTTTAAATTTGAGTATAATTTAAATTTGTCATTGATACCGCCCCAAACAGCTTTATCCTTAATTCTAGAAGAACGTCAACAGCAGGAACACAAGATAGCAGGATGATACACTGTTAATTATCAATCTAGGCAATACCCTCATTTTCAAAAGCTAAATAAATAAAAATACAGAAAACAATATGTAAAATTAGGCAATAAATCAAATTAGAAAAAACATTTGTCTATTAAAGAGACTATTGTCTTTTCTTAATAACCAATGCAAATAAGGGAACTAAAAGAAAAAAAATGTTGGCCAAGTATCTAGTTTGCAAGTCATTACATTTAAAGAAGGAGAAATTGTGTCTGGATAAGATGCCAGAAAATGCCCACAGTCCAATACTTTTGATGAGGGAGGTGATTTCAACAGTGAGGGATAGCTGAAAGCAAATACATTAAAATCTTAAAAGTTAAAATTGTGGTAGTTTGTGGGTGGTAGAGCATATGTGACCTAAAAATTATTAACATGTTTTTTATTGTTTTTGAAATAATCTTCATTCATGATGTTTTGCTTTTATATTTAGCAGTCCATAAAATGAACTTAGAAAAGAGGAGAAAGCTGATGAGAAAGTATTTACACATCGGGGGAAGATAATGTCAAGAGCAAAGTGCAGAAGAAATTCGGGCCTTGACAATATTTGGACTGAAGTGTTGCAGATTTCTCTGAAATTTATCATTCTCTGATGCTGTTTTATCCACTTGAAGGTTATGTGGAAAATAAAATATTCATCATTTAATCCTGTGTTCATTTTACCCATATTTACTGAGCGCCTACAAAAGCCCTGTGGATAAAGCAGGGAGCACAACAGAAAGTAAATGCATCTTCATCAAGGTTACATTCTAGCGTGGGAGACAGACATATAATCCAAAAACAGTAAGAATTAAAATATATAGTATGGTAGAAGGCCATCAACCCTAGGGAGAAAACTAAAGCAGAGAATGGCCAAAAGAATTGGTATATATGAGTGCAATTTTGGATAGAGTGGCCAGAAATGGCCTCTCTGAGAAGGTGAGTTTTGATAAAAGAGATGATAAAAGTAAGAAAGTCCTTCCCATTAATTTGGGGGAAGAGCATTTGAGGAAGAGAAAAAGCAAGTGCAAACACGTTGTGTTGGGACAACACCTGGCATGATCGATATGGATAAACAGAAAGGAGGAGAATGTGACTTCAAGTGAGTGGATGAGGAGGCTGTGTAAGGAGAGGTAAGAGACTTTGCAGATCTGAGCAGGGGGTTGACTTTTACCCAGAGAGAGGTGGAATGCAGCTAGAAGGTTCAGGGCAACAGGATTACTCTGGCTGCTGTGTAGAGAATAGACTGAATGAATAAGGAAAAAAAGACAGGAAGCCAATTAGGGGCCATTGTAGTTATCCAGAAGGGCTGATGGTGACCTGGACCAGAGTGACAGCAATGAAATCATTGAGAAGCTGCTGACGTAGCAATATATTTTGAAGGAAGAGATAACAGGATTTGTGACAGGATATGGAGACTAAGAAAACAATTCAGCATGTCATGAGGTATTTGGCCTGAGAAACCAGAAGAATGGGATGGCCATTAATTGAGACTTAAAAAGGCTACAGGAGAAATAAGTTTAGGGGTGGAGAAAATATCAGGACCTTAGTTTCAAACTTACTGAATTTGAGATGCCCAGTAGACATCCAAGCAGAAATTCTGAGGTGACATCTACATATGGAATTCTATTTAAAGACAGAACTGCATGAGATTTCATAACGAGTGAGTACAAATAGGACAGGGAAAGGACACAAAGACTGAGCTGTGGAAATTCTGACATTCAGAGACCCGAGAGGTGAGAAGGAACTAGTAAAGAAGACTGAGAGATGGGAGCTAGAAAAACAGAAGAAAAGCCAGAAGAATATGATGTCCCAGAAAGCAAATAAGGAAAATGTTTCTGAGAAGGAAGGAGTAGGCAATGGTGCCAGAAGACGGTAATAGGAGAGAACATAGACTACACGGCTCTGATTCATGAAATTGGACAGATAGGAAGTGGGAGTCTTTGGAAAGTCTCTTCTGATTGCCTCAATTTTCTCACTGTTGTGCAAAGTAAAGACAAGGGAAGAAGTCTAAGAAGTTTAAAGAATAAGTATAGAATAGTCAGGTAGCAGGGAGCAAGAGGGAACAGACTTGAGAAACACAGTGTGATTGTCAGGCGCATTACAGGTGACTTGAGGTTAGTGATCATGAATTTGAAGTGAGCCCAGTCAGTGTGGTGGGCCACACTGTGGTGTAGCCACATTCAGGTGCATGAATGTGAGTTGGATTTAATCAGAGTGCAATGCAAGTGCAGGCAGTGAGTACGCATCTGTATGGGAGTGATATGAATGACTGTGAAATTTACACTGGGCAGAGGTGAGGGCATAGGGTGAATGAGGGACAGTGAAACTACAACCAGCAGAATAAAATAATTTCTGAAATTGGGGTTCCAGAGTGAACTGAAACATAGAAGGGGGTCGTTGGACAGCAGGAGGTTAGATACTGAAGTTGTAGAGGGTTTACCACACTGAGAGGCCAGCTAGAAGAATCACCTACTGTTCTTGCCAAGATCATTCAAGTCACCAAGGTTTAGAAGAGGGGTGGTGGTGAAGAGTCATGGTTTGCTGAGAGCTAGAATTTTCAAACAATGAGGGGGAGTGACACCTAGACAGATGAATAATGGGTAATTCAAAACTGGGAGTTTTTATGCAGGGGAGGGAGAATAGTCTGGCATGAGGTGCCTATTCCACTCCGGGCAAGTGGCATCGTCTAACTCCAACCTGATTAGTTCATCTTCTCCTCGTTCCTTACCCTGCACATAGCTCTACTTTTTATAATTATCTCCTTGTCTATCTTGCTCACTAACTTATGAGCTTCTTGAAGGTATAGATTATGTATTATTCCTCTTGATAGTCCCTTAGTGACCAGAACACTGCCTGGCACATTGTAACCATTCTATGTATGAGAGTTGGATGCATGAATAAATGAATGAATATAATCATGCAGCCACAGACACTTTATGCTGAACCCTTACATCTGAATATTTGTTTTTATAAGAAGGCCATTTAAAAAATTCCATCCAAGTAACCCACGATCTTCATTAGTGATATGACAATTACAGGCAAACTCTGTAGACAGGATTATCTTATGGTTCGTGGACAAGCATATTTGACTATCCTCAACTGGGTATAGGTTTTTTTATTGATTGTAACATGAATGGTCTGAAACTTTGTTACTTCCTATAATTATCTCTGCGTTACCTAGCTCACAGCATTGCATTTGAAAAACAAATCTGTACAACATTCACAATATAAGTAGGAAAATGAAAACAATGCAGATGATTTATTTCTCCTCTTCCTACATTTCTGATTTGAAGCCATCCTTTCATGCCTGTGGGGCACATCTTTAAAGACTGAGTTCACTATTCATATTTTAAGTGTGTTGGCCAGTTTTTGCTCCAAATGATTTCAATTAAATATTCAATTAAAACAATATAAATTGAAAAATATTTGCTTGTGTTGGCTGCCTTAGTTTCTTTGACTTGCCCTAGTAATAGCATCAGTTGACACCAACCCTGTTTTGGAAGTGGGAGGTAGGAATGGAATAGAGAGAAAATGTAAGGAGTCTCTTTTGTCTAAATTTGTGTTATATTTAAGGATCCAAGGGTTGTTGCACATCACATTAAATACATCTGTGTGGTTATCTTCAATTTGTTTCTCACAATAACCTAAAGTATAGCTAGATAATGGGGAACTATACAATAATAAAGCTTTAAAGTACATTTGATAATGAAAAATCCTCAACAAACCAACTCACCATGTGGTTCCTATTTACATGGAAAAAGGGTTTTCTCCATGGTTGAGCATATTGATGAAATGAGACAAAAAATGCTAGATGTACTATGTCATAAAGAACAACATGCCTGTTTAATGGTTTTCGGCAGGCGGCCTATCATAACTTATGCTTTCTATACCACCTCTACTTCCCAAAGATAATGAATCAACACTACTGTTGAGTGATTATTTTTACTAGTATTACCTAAGAGATAAAGATTGGATGAACTAAAGGATTCATCTTATATTGCTAATCATGCTGCTTAAAAGACAATGTTATATGTATTTTATAGTCCTCTCAGAAAATCATAAAAATCTAGACTCACTCAGAATGTAAGAAATATTCTCGTTTATACATAGTATTTTCATTTACATGTAATACAGATATATTGAAAATTCCATCTGCAGTAAGAATAGCAGGCAAAAATATAGAAAGAACTTGAAGGTATATATTGAATGCATTTTAATGCATTTATTAGTTAATTTTAATAATTTTAAAACACTTTGATATATGTTATTATCCCTAACACACAAATATGGAGTAACTATAAAATGCTTGACTGATGCTTTGGTTCCAAGAAGAACAGAGATTACCAAAAAGTAGCTTAAAGGGTCCTTTGGATATCCATCTTACCTATAATGACTCACCTTAGTCCTTGCCAGTAAAGGAGCACCCCGTTCCAACAGAAGTTCCACCACTTGGTCATGACCACTTCGTGCAGCACAATGAAGTGGTGTCAACCCATCCTGCAGAAAGAATGAAAGAATCAACCCCGATCTCACTCTTTTTTTAAAAAAGCGAGATTGCATCTATTTTCACTCCTGATGACTCAGTAGATCAGTAACAGAATTGCAATTAGTTAAATGGCAGAAAAGGAGACCTAGTGAAAGAGAAAACAAGACAGAAAGAGATCTTGACAGAGAGCAAGAGGAGAAAAGAGAAACAAAACAGACAGGGAAGAGTGAGAGAGATCCCACATGTGGAGGTTCAATGGGATGAAACTGGCTTCTGGTCAAGCGTTTGTTTTCAAGAAGACAGAAGAGCAGAGTACGCTGCATTTGTTGAACTTTAAAGCCCTACTCCCCTGGAACCACAGCCAGGGATTATATTAGGTTATACATTTTTCATTTTGGTTGTTCTAACACAACTTTTACCTAAACATTCTTCTTAGTCTAATTTGTCCTTCGATGTTCTCTCTTGAATTGTTATTATCTTCATAAATTCTCCTGAAATGCTCCCTGATGCTCGTAAAAGGGATGGGTGGTTTGTTCAGATTCATTTAAAGATTTCCACACATATATTTCAACATTTTATAAATTACATAGTTTCCCAAAGATGAATTTATTAACAAATAGAATTATACCTGTGTCAAATAAAATATGGCACAACTGTATGTTATATTATTTATAAAGCTTTCTGGCCTTAAGACTTCTGGGGTAGCTTCTGATTCCTGAGCAATTCACAAATGACCTCTCTCGTTTGTATTTTATTTCTTTTTAGGGTGGTGTACTAACCTATTTCTGTGGCTTATAACGGAATGCCTGAAACTTATTTATTAAGAAATAAAATTTATTTCTTGCAATTTGGAGACTAGGAAGTCCAAGGTCTGGAGAACAAATTTGGTGAGGGTCTTTTTGGTGGTAGCTCTTTACAGCAATGCAGAGTGTCACATGGTGAGAGAATGGCCTGAGCAGGAGAGCTAACCTTCTCACTTTCTCACCTTACAAAGCTGTCAGAAACATGCCCATAATAACTCACTACTGCATGAATGGATTAATCTTCATGATCCAATCACCTCTCAAAGGCCTCACCTTTCAAATACCATAATTGGATTTTCCACCCTCTTAACACTGTTACAATGGGGGTCAAGTTTCCAATACATGAACTTTTGGGGGACCCATTTAATCCACAGCAGGTGGCATGGCCAAGAAAGAAGAATGGGTGGAAAAGGTGAATATTTGACAAAATGTAAGAAACAATGGGCAAGATGTGAGAGAGAAAATAAAAACCTGAATACGTAAATTACCTGATGACTTATGGCTTAAGGAAAAAAAATAATTTGAAAGAGGCAGAGAAGGTGGGTAGCAATCAGAGAAAATGAAGGACAGTGAGCAGTTAAGAAGATTGAAGAAGCTTCTGGTTTATCTAGAACTCTAACGGCCTATCTTTTGTGTCTCTGCTTCCAAGACCATCTTTCCACGTTATGTTTTCCTCCTGATAAAAATAATTCCTCTGGATTACAACACTCTTTCTGGTCCAACATTCCAGGATTTCTATGCTAGATATCTTCCATTTGTCTCTCCAGACGCGTGTTCTACCGTTCTCCACTCTGCTGTGTGTCCCAACAGACTGACCACTGTAGGGAGCGTCGGGGTGCTATCTTGCCTTCTGGCTTCTGGTTGGGTTTGGCCAATGGGAATCGCAGCATGACATGGAAAGGACTCTCTGAGGAATCTTCTAAATCTGGCTGTATTTCTTTACTGAAGGTTATATACCTGCCAAAGCAGCCTTTCCACACAATTCTCTTCTTTGAAGTTTTGGGAACCTCTTCTACTTCTCACCTTTCAGGTCTAGGTTAGTAATGAGCCCTGCTATTACTAGTCCCTGGGATACTGCACTCTCCCTTGTGCCTTCCCTGTAGTCTACCCACAATATTATAAATAGAACCTTTAATAATCTCTAATCAAATTATCAAATTTGAGTGTGCCATCTGTTCTTGGCTAGGACCTTAGTGGATAATGATTCTTTGCTTTATTAAATCTATTTAGCTAGTATTAAGATATCAAATAACCAAAACAGACCTTGCAGTTTTGATATCTGAGAATTAGCATGAAAAAACCGCCTTTCCAGAAAAAAAGTATGCATATAACTACAGCAGTCGGGATGCCAGTTATTTTAAAGTTTGCCAGATAATAGCCTAAAAAAGAAACAGAGCCAGCAAAACGATGAAAATAATTATGCTTTCAAGTCTTGATAATAGTACCATGTGGTAGAACTACAGAGCATTCATTGCTATATAAATTATACAACAATTAGATATAGTGTGATGGCTCAAACATATTCCTAGTGGGGACTTCGTCAAGATCTAGAGTTTGAGAAATCCCTCATAGTGAATAGAAGCACTATATGCAATGGTTCAGCATGTGAACTCTGAAGTCACAGAGCCTTGGGATGAATCTCAGATCAGCCATGATGGGTGAATCTCTCTCTAAGTCTTAGCTTCATGATATATAAAAGGGGGGTGCTTTTTCTTACCCTATTTAACTTACAGCCTCGTTTGAAAGATGAGGGAGGGGCTGCTGCCTTACATCATTCTTTGAAAACGTAGAGTATCATTTTCTACGAACTACATGAAATATTCATTGTGTAATCATGTTGAAGTCTCCAAAACACTCACAGAGTAACAATAGGAACATTACAGAGAATATTTAATACAACAAGAACATCAGGGAACGATAAGGATTAAATAGATTCTAAATCTTACATTTAATAATGCAATGTGTCCGCCCTTGTAAAAGATGTGTGAATGATGATATCAAATTCAAGTTGCCAAGAGGCTCAATCTGACTAGATTTTGAATATTTTCTACTAAGTACGGTGTCAAGTTAATGCCAAAAAAAAATTCTTGTCAAGGTTTTTTATTCCAGGACCTTTCACTGAAATTCTTAAGCCTGTGTTTGAAGGTTATGTTTTTGTTATTGTTGTTGTTCTCTTTTTTTCTTCACTAGAATCAGTTCATCCACACTTATGTGCCATCCACTATGATGGAGATAATTCAAAACACTGATTTAATGTTGATCAATCAACATTAGAGGGACACCATTTATCTAGCTGGTAACCCACAGCATGAGCTTCTTACAACCATTTCTTTCCTTATCTTTTCCTTTCCTCCCACTCTTCTTAGGTTGTTCTTCCAGTAATGTATCCTGAAGTCTGCGCATGTGAAGTCTCTGCTAATTACTAAACTGTGTGTCCTAGGCCAAGTTACCTAACTCCGCTGAAACGTATTTTTCCCTTTGGTAGTCTCATTTCTCAAATGAAGACCTCTATATTTTCTCAATAAGAAAATAATACACACTTCCTAAGTTGTTAGGAAAATGAAATAAGATAATATTTATAGAGTACTTAGCAGGGTGCCTAGAATATTATATGCACATGGCGATTGGTAGCCATTATTGTTATTACTTTATTATATCTAATAGTAAGTGGCAAGAATAATCCTTTTTTCTGATGTTTTGTTTTTTGTTCATCATCCTTTAATGTTGTTTGCATACTTTTATTGTTTACATTAAAATATGTATTTCAATATTTTAAACATAATCCTTACAGGGGGTATCTCCACACTTAAATAATGAATAAGTTTAAAAACAAAAAAAGAGTAATGCTGTTAATAAAGTCTGAATTAACAATTTCATTTTAACTAGCTATAAAATTTATGTTTTACCATTAAAATGAGGTTTCTCAGATACCAGCAAAGGGGTCTGGTGAAAATGTCTCAGAGTTTCACACTAGATTCTAGTCAGTGACGAGAACGCCCACAATATGCAAAACATTTCAACGACTGCCAAAATGGTAGTGAAAGTGGGGAAGACACTGAGAATAAGATTTGTTTTTCAGTTACCCAGAACTTCTACAGATCTTGTTTTTCTCCAGAAAATGAAAACCTTATAAATGAGAACAATAATGAGAAGATCAAGGAAAAATTCTTAACAGAATATACTAAATTCATAATATTTGTTATTAATTTGCTAGCAGAAATTGAGAATTCTATGACAAAAAAATGAAATAATAATACTTATTTTAAAAATTCTATATATAGTTGTTCTATTATATTATGCAAAAAGGTAGACAAAAACAAATTAAACATTTTTCTATTTTTAAATGTATTTTAAAAAGTCAGTTCCTAAAGGGCAAAAAAAAAAAAGCAAACTATATTCCTTTGCTTTAGAAATCAAATATTACCATTCCAGAACTGGCCTCCCAATTCCAAACCACAGTCCTTCATTTCAGTATTTACCTCCTACTCGATTTTGCCTTTGGTAAGAAGGATATAGTTCTTTTACCTATAGCCAGAATAGAAAGAAATCCTACTACTTAACAGATGACCAAGTATTTTTAACTTACGGGGTAAAAAACTCAGTGTTACCATTCAGTATTGTACCTAATCCTGGGTGTGTTGGAGCCAGCTGGTACAAACTAGTGAGGGCCAATTTTTGTACATCTCTTCCCAATTCTGCACGTAGTGATACCATGTTGTATGCTCTAAGTTGATCATGATGGAAGTATTCACAGTACGTAAATCAGCAAAGGCAAAGGTTACAAATAAAGGCATTTTTTTTTTTAGAACTTTTGATTAATATACTTACCAGCACACTGCTAACCTAATTCCTTTGGTACTGCTGACTTGCATCCCTGTGAGTCCAGAGACCTCGTCTCTTTTGTTAACTGTTCAGGGTTCATGGCACTAAGCAGGAACTCAATAACTATTTGTTTAAGGAATAAATGAATGCAATGTCTTCACAATGTACACAACTGGAAAATCTATTTTCTCTTTTTAAATCCTTGAATATCCTTGAATAAAATTCAATTTATTTGCTGTATCTAAAGGCTACCTTGAATGAAATATGGTCCAAATATTCCATTCATAGAACAAGAAACCAAGGCTTACATCTGACTGGTAACTTGCTCAAGGACAATTAGCTAATGACAGAACTAGCATAAGAATCCATTTCTCTCCATTTATTAGTACTCTTTTTATGAAAATATACTGCCTATTTGGAGTTAGACTTAATTGTATATACAAATATATGTGAGCCATGCAATTTAGAGCATCTTTTAAAGAACTAAGTAAATATTGAGATGATCAATAAAGAACAAAATCAACTGCCTCAGTAATGAATAAATACTTCGGAAAATCTTTAATAAAAGCAATGTGCATCCCTAAGACATTAGTGAAGATAAAAAATTTTTGCATTTGCAAAGTGCTGTCTTTCCTTTGTTAATCTCCATTACTAGAGAATTTCAATAGAAACAAACAGGTCAGTATAAAGGGAGAAATTTATGTTAGTAACGTATGTTAGTAATGCAACATTATGGTGGTTACATTAGTAACGTAGTAATATGCAGAAACTCTTTCCTTTAACTATAAAGAACGAGTAAGCAAAGCATGCAGCATTGTGCATACTGTTCCAAATTCTGCATACCCACAGCATTGTTAAAAAAAAAAGGAATGCCAACAAAGCAAAGGGTAGAAATCATGTAAAACTCTGATTCAAAGACACTGGAGACCACAACAAAGATCTTGATAATGCAAACCACTCCAAAACTCCTACACGATGTGACACAGCCACTCTGGACCAAATGTCTTAGATAAATGACATTTTAAGAAGCAAGGTTTCCTGATGTCATTAAAACCAAAATTTATAGTCTGGGACTGGTGTAGATTCTAGAAGCTTAAAGATGATAACCTTTATTAAACAAAAACATTTGCTAGCCTCAAGATTTGCTAGGGAACTAGATTTAATCCTTATTGCTTGGACGATGAGAACATGAAGTCCCAGAATAAAACAAAGTGAAGATAAAATACCACAAGGGACATATTCTACCATCTTCCATAGACTTTTCACACCACATATTTCAACATTTTTGTATTACAGGAATGTTTAAAGTTTGGCTAAAGTCTGTGATTAACATAATCTACTCCAGAGACCTAATATTGAAGTACTAGTTATAAGAAAATAACTGCATATAATGTCAGTAAAATCAGAAAAAATTATGAGTAGCTATGTAATTTACCCACTCCACTTTTTAAAAAAAAAAAAGTAAATAAAATAGCTACGAGTTAATGCTCACACAACCTTATGAGGTAGGTACTATTATTAGCCTAAGTTCAGAGAAGGTAAGAAAACTGCCAATATCATATAGCTTAGTAAATGGTAGAAAGAGGACTTGAAACAGGCAGTTTGTCTTCAGAATTTGCACTTTTTTTTTTTTTGTCTTTTGTCTTTTTCCGTGTCCGGCAACGGATCGCAACCCTCAGTGTTGCCCCCGTACCGGACCGGGACCGGCAACGGGACTGCAACCCTCGGTGCTGCTCCCGCGTCTCGCTCAGCCAGTGAGCGGCAACCAGTCTGTATGTGGGATCCGAACCCTCGGGCGGGAGCGCCGCCGCACTTCCCAAGCGGCGCACTATCCAGTGCGCCACCGGGCCGGCCCAGAATTTGCACTTTTAACAATTGTGCCCTACTGCCTATCTAATTATCTATTTTTTCGGTGTGCATTAAAAACTCAAAATGATATTTTACTTAACAAGTTTGAAATAAATGAAGGGCACCCCTTCTACCAAGATGACATAAGTAAAGATACAAAATACTAAGTGTATACTTTTATTTCCATATGAATAATAGCAAATCTCCTGCTCAGGTCTTTATAGCATAACCACTTAAGAAAAATGACATACGAATTGAATAGTTAGAAGAAAAAGATTTTCAACATCTATTAAAACATTTTATGTAAAAGCCACACTCTCAAATCTTAATGTATGCTAATGAGTTTGGGTTCTTGATACTTATAACTACCCAAAAGAGAGATGTGTAAGCCCAATCTTTGATCTTTGTTTCCAGAAAATCAATAAGCAAAGCAAAGATTTGAAATACTGTCTTATTGAGGGGCTAGCATTTTGTTTCTCTGGGCGCTTATGAGCAAATATTAATTTCACTTTGTAATGTGAAAATTTTTAATACTGTATGAGATTTAAATCAAGTCCAAGAAAGCAATTTCCTTGAAAACACATGGCCTATATTTATGGACTGGTGTTTTAAGGTGCCTGCTAAGAGAATTCAAAGAAATAATAACGGTAGGAAATTGAAAGAACGGAGACACTCACCCTAGTTTTGGCATCGATCTGACCGCCTCGATCCAGTAAGAGCTTCACCATGTTTGTGTTTCCCCTTTTGGAAGCCACATGAAGAGGAGTGATTCCGTTCTACACCAGGAAAGACCAAACAAGAGCATGTTGAGTATGACAGGGCATAATGGCGATGATTTTGTGTTACCAGGCACGAAGGAGGTTGTGACCTATGTGGTAATTCGATCCACAGTTTCTACATTTCAATGTCTTTGATTTTTAAGGAACAAAGAAGCACACAAACCACAAAGCACTCTAGTTAGAGAAGGAAAAATGGAATGAAACTGCATAACTAAGTCAATAACTGCAATATATGTATTGAATGTACACATTATAAAATCAAGAGACAAAGGGAGAACTTTTGCATAGGAGAAACAAAAATTCCAATTTTACCTGACAGATGCCTAGGGTAAAGTCTTTATTTCTATAACACCCATGCACTTAAAGAGTACAGGATCATAAAGTTTCCCATGCTTAAAAATAGAATACAAATATACCTATTAATGCCCAATGGAAAAATGATTCTTAAAAACATCTTCAGAATAATTCAGTAAGAAAAACAACTTGAAAATATCACAACATTGTTTCGGTGTAGAAGAATTCTAAGAACAAATACACTATACATACGAATTATATTTATGTATTTTATTGGCTATCATGTCATCATTATGGTAAGAATATGCACCTGGTTTTTTGGTGCCATAATTTTTTTTAATATTCAAATATCTTGTTAACTGGTTCATACTAAGTAAATTGAGTTTTATAATTATCATGTAAGTGAATTCTTTCCAATAAAAGCATACCTTTAAACATATAACAATGTGATATCTTTTTACATATTTTAGCAAGACTTTTCATATAAGCAAATTCTTAATTCATTAAAAAAATCCCTGTCAATTTGTGTGCCCTATAATCACTGTATAACACACTACTTACATATTTCGTATTTGACATTTTAACAGTTTAATTTTTTTTGTTTGAAGCTGCTCTTTCATGATTCACGGAATGATCTTTAAGTAGCATACTAACAGCAGAATTAATACCTGCCTTAGCTATTAGAAATGATTTGTGTTCATCTGAATTTACAACATTCTTATTTTTCACTTGTTGGGTCATGATGACTTCCTGTGATTTGAAGGAAAAAAATGGAAAATATAGTATCTCTAGCATAGCTTCAGGCAAGGAAAAAGAAATAAAACCTTTAAAAAGCTGAGCTCATTTCTTACTTTCTTTTTTTTTTTTTTTTTTTTTTTTTTTTTTCC